CATTCCTCACTAATCTCCTGCTATCCACCCATATCAGTGACCGCATTCATGTGATTGCCTTTTCCCTTACTTAGTAACTCTCCAAGCCCATGGCTCATATCCACCCTTAATTGACCCCACCACATGTTATCAGTATAAAAGACACCTGTCCACAACCTCAAACAGTCACACTCCAAACTCCACTATGGCCAAGACCAAAGAGCTGTCAAAGGACATTAGAAACAAAATTGTAGACCTGCACCAGGCTGGGAAGACTGAATCTGCAATAGGTAAGCAGCTTGGTTTGAAGAAATCAACTGTGGGAGCAATTATTAGGAAATGGAAGACATACAAGACCACTGATAATCTCCCTCGATCTGGGGCTCCACGCAAGAGCTCACCCCGTGGGGTCAAAATGATCACAAGAACGGTGAGCAAAAATCCCAGAACCACACGGGGGGACCTAGTGAATGACCTGCAGAGAGCTGGGACCAAAGTAACAAAGCCTACCATCAGTAACACACTACGCCGCCAGGGACTCAAATCCTGCAGTGCCAGACGTGTCCCCCTGCTTAAGCCAGTACATGTCCAGGCCCGTCTGAAGTTTGCTAGAGTGCATTTGGATGATCCAGAAGAGGATTGGGAGAATGTCATATGGTCAGATGAAACCAAAATATAACTTTTTGGTAAAAACTCAACTCGTCGTGTTTGGAGGACAAAGAATGCTGAGTTGCACCCAAAGAACACCATACCTACTGTGAAGCATGGGGGTGGAACCATCATGCTTTGGGACTGTTTTTCTGCAAAGGGACCCGGACGACTGATCCGTGTAAAGGAAAGAATGAATGGGGCCATGTATCGTGAGATTTTGAGTGAAAACCTCCTTCCATCAGCAAGGGCATTGAAGATGAAACGTGGCTGGGTCTTTCAGCATGACAATGATCCCAAACACACCGCCCGGGCAACGAAGGAGTGGCTTCGTAAGAAGCATTTCAAGGTCCTGGAGTGGCCTAGCCAGTCTCCAGATCTCAACCCCATAGAAAATCTTTGGAGGGAGTTGAAAGTCCGTGTTCCCCAGCGACAGCCCCAAAACATCACTACTCTAGAGGAGATCTGCATGGAGGAATGGGCCAAAATACCAGCAACAGTGTGTGAAAACCTTGTGAAGACTTACAGAAAACATTTGACCTGTGTCATTGCCAATAAAGGGTATATAACAAAGTATTGAGAAACTTTTGTTATTGACCAAATACTTATTTTCCACCATAATTTGCAAATAAATTCATTAAAAATCCTACAATGTGATTTTCTGGAGAAAAAAATTATCATTTTGTCTGTCATAGTTGACGTGTACCTATGATGAAAATTACAGGCCTCTCTCATCTTTTTAAGTGGGAGAACTTGCACAATTGGTGGCTGACTAAATACTTTTTTCCCCCACTGTATGTCTATCCATTCTTCACACACAGGAAATTGTGTCTATAGTATTTTTTTAAATGATGAAGTGAGGATTTCAACATCTATTTCGTGTACGTGGGTGGCTTTCTCAAGGCTGCATTTTCCTTGATTTCATTATGTTTTGCAGACCACCTTTGATTTTCCTAAAAACCCAAAGTGTCAGTATCAACTGAGGACAACTCATAGAAGAAAGATGATCAGAAGAGATTGACTTAATATGTGTTTTCAATTCACGGAGACTCTAATGTTTTTCCTGTCCTGTTCCTTTCAGGATCTTTCAACGGCTGCTTTGAATAGCTTATCTTTGATAATACCCTAAAGCTTTTCAAAACCTCCCACCATTGCGACGTGTGTTTCTGTTTTTTAAAATCCAGCCTGATACATTTTTTATTCTGCGTCTGTGAGGCTTTATAGTTGGATTTTATGGAATTGATTTTAGCGTGGGCTGTGTTGCCCATGCCAACCGAGCAGACTTTTTTAAACCTGGAGAATAAGAGAGATGTAGGTGTGAGTCGTGATGTACAGTCAGACCAGAGTGATGCAGTGTGGGTAGCAGGCCTCTGCCAGAGGCTTCGAGCAGCTCGCAGAGATACGAGATCATTACACATACTGGGAAAACAACTGCATACCATCTTCATCAGGTCCACTCTTATCTATCAACTGAATCAATGTCCTTCCTCTCAAGGTTACATCATGTTGTTTTTGTATGGGATTTTAAGAAACATTTGTCTGTTGAAAATTCCTAACCACTTGTATAAACTATTTGCATACACTTCAAACAGACATACACTGAGTGTACAAAACATTAAGAACACTCTCCTAATATTGAGTTGCACCACCCCTTTTCTTCTCAGAACAGCCTCAATTTGTCAGGGCATGGACTCTACAAGGTATCGAAAGCGTTCCAGAGGGATGCTGGCCCATGTTGACTCCAATGCTTCCCACAGTTGTGTAGCTCAGTTGGTAGAGCATGGCGCTTGCAACGCCAGGGTTGTGGGTTCGTTTCCCACGGGGGGCCAGTATGAAAATGTATGCATTCACTAACTGTAAGTCGCTCTGGATAAAAGCGTCTGCTAAATGACTCAAATGTAAAATGTAAGTTGGCTGGATGTCCTTTGGGTGGTGGACCATTCTTTATACACACGGGAAACTGTTGAGCGTGAAAAACCCAGCAGCATTGCAGTTCTTGACACAAACCAGTGCACCTGGCACCTACTACCATACCCCGTTCAAAGGCACTTAAATATTTTGTCTTGCCCATTCACCCTCTGAATGGCACACACACAATCCATGTCTCAATTGACTCAAGGCTTAAAAAATCATTATTTAACCTGTCTCCTCCCCTTCATCTACACTGATTAAAGTGGATTTAACAAGTGACACCAATAAGGGATCATAGCTTTCACCTGGATTCAACTGGTCAGTCTATGTCATGAAAAGAGCAGGTGTCCTTAATATTTTGTACACTCAGTGTACATAACCCATCAGACACGCCACTATGGGTTTCTTCACGGCACCCAAACCAAAAACAGATTTAATGGGTCGCTCTGTTATGTATAGAACAGTGCCGGCTGGTGCCGTTTAAGATCAGCGAGGGCAATAAATTAGTTATTTCTATTAAAACATTTTGGATAACTGTTATTCATATTCCATTCACCCAACTCAATGTAACATCGATAGGTTTAGGCTACTACATGACTCTAATTTTCCCTATACCCATCATGAGGTTGCTACCACCTAGCCTATGAATGAAAGTTTACAATGTCGAGAGACATTTGAGTAATCAAAGTGACAGACATTGACACATTCAATACCGCCTTGCACACTCTTGCCTGCTCCTAGCTGATCTAGGGTGTAATCATTTGTCCAACAGTTGCAAACGAGAGTTTCTATTAAACAAATTCCAGTATGTTTATCCCCGTTTTGTTCCGTTTGCTTCCGTTTAATAAAAACATGTTCAACAGAATCGGCGGAATGAATACACCCCTGTTCATCCACAAACAGTTCACTTTCATAGCAGCCACATAAAAACAACATGATCCCTTTGATCATTGTATAATTCCTTCTCAAATCTACGCGCTCTCCTCCTCTCACCTTTTCTGTCTGTGACCAGGCGAAAAAACCTTTCCAAGCCAAACCTTCATATCATAACCGCTAACCGCTACACACAGCCTACGTCATTGTCACCATATTAACGTCATCGTCAACATAGCTACTAGAACTAACGTGTTAGTAAACCCGCTACAATCATGCAATACAGTGTACAGTTAGCAGCAAGCAGTTTAGCAGTTATACAGGCGGGCCCCGGTGGAAATAAATTAATAAAACCAAAAGCTTACCTTGACTTGGAAAATAGCCATAGCCAGCTAGCTAACATAGCATCCCTCTCTGTTTGAGCCGGGTGTTTGAGTAGGCTAGACTAGCTAGCTGCATTCGCTAGCTAAGTAAATGAAAGTGAAAGTGAAAAGAAAATACAACGAAATATAGCTCTATCTCTCTTGCTTGCTTCTCTTTCATTTTTGAAGAAATGAATTTGTTCAAAACTGTTCAACTATTGTCTTTCTCTCTCTTTGAGTCAACTACTCATCACATTTTATGCTCTGCAGTGCTAGCTAGCTGTAGCTTCTGCTTTCAGTACTAGATTAATTATCTGATCCTTTGATTGGGTGGACAACACTGGGTGGTCAGTTCATGCTGCAAGAGCTCAGATAGGTTGAAGGACGTCCTCCAGAAGTTGTCATAATTACTATGTAAGTCTATGGAAGGGCGTGAGAACCACGAGCCTCCTAGGTTTTGTATTGAAATCAATGTATCCAGAGGAGGATGAAAACTAGCTGTCCTCCAGCTACACCATGGTGCTACCCTACAGAGTGCTTTTGAGGCTACTGTAGACATTCATTGCAAAACAGTGTGTTTTAACCAATTATTTGATGACATGAATATATTTAGCATAGCTTTATCTAAAAAGGATAACTTTTTTAATGTTTCACTATTTGTATTTTTATGATATTCTGAGGATGGTCCTCCCCTTCCTCCTCTGAGGAGCCTCCACTGGTATAGAGCCATGTCATCGTGCGTGGAATGTTCTGCCACCAGAGGTTACTCAGGCAAAAAGCAAGTTTAGCTTTAAAAAACAGATAAAACATCTTATTGTATAACAGCGCCTCTCATCTTTCTAAAGATCTAATTTAACGGTACTGATTATGAATATGTATATATGAATAATGTGTAAATAGTATTTTTGTTGTCTCTTGGTGTCTTTCCAATATATAACTCTTGTTTGAATTTAATGTAACATCTTGTGTTTTTCTTGTCTATAACTGTACTTTGTCATGTATTTGTATGTTTTATGTGGACCCCAGGAAGAGTAGCTGCTGCATGTGCAGTAGCTAATGGGGGTCCTAATAAATTAAACCTAAATCTATAAATTATTGACTTATTTACGTTATTTATTGTCTGATGTTATACACATTCTCCTAAGACTGCCTTGATATTTACTGTAACTGCTCGTGGTGACCAAGCCATGATGTATGTAGTGTCATTGACAGTGTAGTAGTCCTTACCTCATGGGACAGGTAGAAGGCAGCGATCCCCAGGGGCCAGAAGCAGCACAGCATGGAGAAGACACTCAGGCCCAAGTGATCCCTCGGTGGCATCATGAGGAAGTTGTCCTCACTCTCCGAGTCGCTCGAGTACTCGCTCTGTGAAAGCACAAAGAGTGAATACTTTGAGCGAATACTGCAGGTCAAGAAAGGAGAGTGGTCTACAGAAGACTGCATTGTAGCGCAGCATAGGGTGGCCTTGCTGACGTTTAGTTGAAATTATTTTCTGTCTTCATAGACTACAGATGGCCTCTTGTTTTCCTCACCTCAGCACATGTTTGTAAATACACTGACAGCTTGCACAGCTGGGCTCTCTAGCAGTCGATTTGCACCGGGAGGGACCTGTACATATGTTCACCCAGACAGGGGCACGACTAGCCATGCCAGCTGGACAATGATGGGCAACAAACAACCTGCCACCTGGCTCTCTCTCTCTCTCTCTGCTTCTCTCTTTCTCTCTCTCTCCCTTAGATACAGTGCCTTCAGAAAGTATTCACACCCCTTGACTTTTTTCTATTTTCTTTGTGTTACAGCCTGAATTTAACAATAATAATAGTGTTTAACATGATTTTTGAATGACTACCTCATCTCAGTACCCCACACATACAATTATCTGTACGGTCCCTCAGTCGAGCAGTGCATTTCAACCACAGATTCAACCACAAAGACTAGGGAGGTTTGCCTCGCAAAGAAGGGCACCTATTGGTAGATTGGTAAAAAAAGCAGACTTGAATATCCTTTTGAGCATGGTAAAGTTATTAATTACACTTTGGATGGTGTATTAATAAACCCAGTTACTACAAAGATACAGGCGTCCTTCCTAACTCAGTTGCCAGAGAGGAAGGAAACCGCTCAGAGATTTCACCATGAGGCCAATGGTGAATTTGAAACAGTTACAGAGTTTAATGGCTGTCACAGGAGAAAACTGAGGATGGATCAACAACAATGTAGGTACTCCACAATACTAACCTAAATGACAGAGTGAAAAGAAGGAAGTCTGTACAGAATAAATAATATTCCAAAACATGCATCCTGTTTGCAATAAGGCACTAAAGGAAAACTGCAAAAGATGTGGCAAAGAAATTAGCTTTATGTCCTGAATACAAAGTGTTATGTTTAGGGAAAGTCCAACCCAACACATCACTGAGCATCACTCTTCATATTTTTAAGCATTGTCATGGCTGCATCTTGTTATGGGTATGCTTGTCATCGGCAAGGACTACAGAGTTTTTTAGGATAAAAATAAACGGAACAGAGCTAAGCACAGGCAAAATCCTAGAGGAAAACCTGGTTCAGTCTGCTTTCCAACAGACAAGGAGACAAATTCACCCTTCAGCAGGACAATAACCTAAAACACAAGGCCAAATATACACTGGAGTTGCTTACCAAGACGACATTGAATGTTCCTGAGTGGCCTAGTTAAAGTTTTGAATTAAATCTGCTTGAAAATATATGGCAAGACTTGAAAATGGTTGTCTAGCAATGATCAACAACCAACTTGACAAAGCTTGAAGAATTATAAAAAGAATAATGTGCAAATATTGTACAATCCAGGTGTTCAAAGTTCGTAGAGACTTACCCAGAAAGACTCACAGCTGTAATCGCTGCCAAAGGTGATTCTAAAATGTATTGACTCAGAGGTGTAAATGAGATATTTCATGTATTTAACTTTCAATAAATGTGAGAAAAAAATTCTAAAAACATGTTTTAACTTTTTAATTATGGGATATCGTGTATAGATGGGTAAGACATTTTCTTATTCAGGAATTCAGGCTGTAAGTAGGGCCATGCTTTAGGGCTTTTTAAAAAAAAACGTTGCTTTTACCTTTATTACCAGCATGATCTACTAGATTTGCTGCAGGAAGAAAATTCTAGGAAATGTTATTTTAATTGTCTCTAATCAATCAATCAATCAATCAATGTCTGGTTGTGCGTGTGTGTTTGGTGGGGGGATCACCTAAGTCAGCGGAGGCGTAGCACTGTGAATCTTAATTGCACAAAGCCTATTATTTGTCAGGGAATACTATTTGTAGATCAGTGATTCTACACCTCACTTTGCTCAAGCTGATCCTTTCCAACGGACTTGGAAGTTGTAGCTAAAAATGGGTCAGTTAGGGTCAGTTAAGGTAAAGGGGAGAGTCAATAAAACCAAATACAATATACTTCCATGGTTGGCTTCATTGGCTCATGCTGGAAATACTGGTGAAAGCAAAATGCCAAAAAAATGCCAAAAAAGCATGGCCCTAATTATGAGGACATTCTTGTCCTGGAGGGTGGATTAGCAGGTTATTACGAGAAATCATTGCACCTCTTCAGAACTCTAGCTAATTAACTTCAGATGGATTCTGAGCAAGACGCCAAAAAAATTTAATTCACAAATCTCATTCCACACACAGTGCCTGAATCTGACGGTAATGGAGTCAGAAATGTGGCTGCATAATAGAAGAGTCAAATGCTCCATTAACTAGATTCTGAGATAGACTTCAATGTTCTATGAAAAGGTCAGCATGCAAAGTAAATTATATAAGATAATTGAAGGGACTTAGATAGTAACAGACATCCTATGTAAATTTGGAAGGATTAGACATATTTTACTCCACAAGTACTGTAAGAACATTGTGAAGGGCAGTCCAATAACGTAAACCCACGGGAATCATGTTAAGTATGCGGTACAGTATTTGTAATTCATTTTAAGGAATCATCTACAATAATGATTCTGTGGGCACCTCATATATTATTACATTGCTGTGTATTTCAAAGAACCCACATTGAGAATTTTGTAGTGAATTAGGGCAAAATTAATCCGTTTTTTTTGTTGCTTTCTCTACAGTATTACAACATACAGTAATAAATATCCTATTCGCAAATTAAGAATGTGCTATAAAAAGGGTGTTTACCTTGACTGCTCCAGTGACAAACACCAGAAACCATGGCAACACCAGAAACCAACAGTTTAGCGTTGACTCAATTCATTTTTCCTGCAAACATTTAGTATTAAAATAACTAGTCTTTTAAAGTTCACATAGACCCAGGGATAGGGAAATTATATATCCACAATACAGCTACCTGAGCCCACATACAGTCGTTGTCAAATGTTTTGAGAATGACACAAATATTAATTTTCAAAGTCTGCTGCATCAGTTTTTATGATGGCAATTTGCATATACTCCAGAATGTTATGAAGAGTGATCAGATGAATTGCAATTAACTGCAATGTCCCTCTTTGCCATGAAAATGAACTTAATCCCCAAAAAACTTTTCCACTGCATTTCAGCCCTGCCACAAAAGGACCAGCTGACATTGTGTCAGTGATGTTGACGAGGACAAGGCTGGAGATTACTCTGTCATGCTGATTGAGTTAGAATAACAGACTGGAAGCTTTAAAAGGAGGGTGGTGCTTGAAATAATTGTTCTTCCTCTGTTAACCATGGTTACCTGCAAGGAAACACGTGCCGTCATCATTGCTTTGCACAAAAAGGGCTTCACAGGCAAGGATATTGCTGCTAGTAAGATTGCACCTAAATCAACCAATTATCGGATCATCAAGAACTTCAAGGAGAGAGGTTAAATTGTTGTGAAGAAGGCTTCAGGGCGCCAAAGAAAGTCCAGCAAGCGCCAGGACCGTCTCCTAAAGTTGATTCAGCTGCGGGATTGGGGCACCACCAGTGCAGAGCTTGCTCAGGAATGGCAGCAGGCAGGTATGAGTGCATCTGCACACACAGTGAGGCGAATACTTTTGGAGGATGGCCTGGTGTCAAGAAGGGCAGTGAGGAAGCCACTTCTTTCCAGGAAAAACATCAGGGACAGACTGATATTCTGCAAAAGGTACAGGGATTGGACTGCTGAGGATTGGGGTAAAGTCATTTTCTCTGATGAATCCCCTTTCCGATTGTTTGGGGCATCTGGAAAAAAGCTTGTCCGGAGAAGACAAGGTGAGCGCTACCATCAGTCCTGTGTCATGCCAACAGTAAAGCATCCGGAGACCATTCATGTGTGGGGTTGCTTCTCAGCCAAGGGAGTGGGCTCACTCACAATTTTGCCTAAGAACACAGCCATGAATAAAGAATGGTACCAACACATCCTCCGAGAGCAACTTCTCCCAACCATCCACGAACAGTTTCGTGACGAACAATGCCTTTTTCAGCATGATGGAGCACCTTGCCATAAGGCTAAAGTGATAACTAAGTGGCTCGGGGAACAAAACATCGACATTTTGGGTCCATGGCCAGGAAACTCCCCAGATCTTAATCCCATTGAGAACTTGTGGTCAATCCTCAAGAGGCGGGTGGACAAACAAAACCCCACAAATTCTGACAAACTCCAAGCATTGATTATGCAAGAATGGGCTGCCATCAGTCAGGATGTGGCCCAGAAGTTAATTGACAGCATGCCAGGGTGGATTGCAGAGGTCTTGAAAAAGAAGGGTCACCACTGCAAATATTGACTCTTTGCATAAACTTAAATGTAATTGTCAATAAAAGCCTTTGACACTTATGGAATGCTTGTAATTATATTTCAGTATACCATAGTAACATCTGACAAAAATATCTAAAAACACTGAAGGAGCAAACTTTGTGAAGACCAATACTTGTGTCATTCTCAAAACTTTTGACCACGACTACAGTACATGTCTTCTCCTGCCTGGTCTGTCCTGAGGCAGGGTAAAGCTTGGGCAGTGCTACACCTGAATCAGAACAGGTGGCGGAGACAACCGGACGCAGCGGGTACCCAGTGGTCCAGACTGCCACTCCCTTTTCCTCCCATTTCTCTTCTGCTCCCCTCTCCTCTATCATCTCTCCTCCCTTTTCTCCTTTCACCATTTCATCTCCTTTCCCCTCTCTCCTATCGCCCACCATTCTAGCCTCTCTGAATTCTCAACAGAGCCTCTTTCATGCTGAGGCAGCCTTTGAAAAGCCTGATATTTATCAGATCTCAAGCAGTGTGTAATATTCAGCTTTTTACTGCATAAAACGGTGCTCTTAGTGAACAGCTTCAAGGACCCAAGAGATCTTCCTCCTTCAGACAAAAACTTCAGAAATCCATCAGGTCCATTTGTATTTGGCTCTAAATGCAATAATAGAAACATATAATACAAACTTCTAACCATACAGAAATAAATTAATATGTTTCATACATAGTAACCATACCTTACAATGTTTACAGTCTAATGTGTTATGATAAAAGACAGAGCCCCCAAACCTTACCTCCAGCTCCTGGAACTCATCATCGTCGTCAATGTCATAAGACAGGGTCTGGATCTTTGCATCCTCCACAGCAAGTTCCAGGAACTTGCCATCGGCAAAACTCAGCCCATCCTTGGAGGCGGCAGAGGAGCCGGATGCCAAGTCCTCTATGAAGGTGGTCTCACAGCAATCCCCGACTCCATCCCCGCAGGCCCGCAGCATGTTCTCAGAGTACAGGATCAGGTTGGGCTTGAAGCGGGGGTCCATGCCCTGGGGCAGAGCGCTGGGGTTGAGCAGCTGTGGGGGTCCCCCTCCTCCGCCGACCCCCTGACCATTCTGCTCCTGCTGGGGGGACAGGTTGACCACCATGTGACCCTGGTACTGCGGGGGCGAGTACACTGACACCAGCCCTTCCTTAGTCTCCACCATCAAGCTGCGGGTGTTGATCAGACCGTTGTGCTTGCAGGAGCCCAGCCCTGCATTCCTTCCTCTCCCAACTGAAGAAGTCGTCCGCTGGTTGGGGGGCTCAGCCTCCACAGCCTGGCTGGAGCCCGACCCCACTCCCTCTCCCGGTCCACTCTCCATCCTGGCTTACAGAGCTGGATTGTTTGATCAAATCCCCTCCTCTTTAAAGGCCACTCTCATAGGGGCCTTGGGTTGGGGAAGGCATGGGATGGCAGGCTGCACTCTCCTGTGGGAGGTCATATTAAAATGGTTGAGCAGATAAAAAGGTATTTTGTATTCAATTTGCATTGTTGTTGTTTTCTTCATCAAAAGCAGTATAAACCCAGACAGAGCTTTAAACCTTTACATGCTTCATCTATTTAGGTTATTGAATTGTTATTTCAAATGAGAAAAACTATTTTTTTAAATCAGTTTGGCTTTCTGCTCATTTTCATGTAATCTTGCACTCAGTTGTAAATGTATTTAATTGTGCTGATTTATTTTGGTGAATCCAGCTCAGTCAGAAACATGGCTAGGTAGAGGGTTTAAGAAATAGTGAAGAGGAGTGTTTTGTCAATTAGCATCCGCCATTTCTGTGAAGATTTAATGGCACAGCTGCCAGTTACAAAACATAAACCCTGCCAAGCATTAAATCCTGAGGTGTTCGTTGCTGCCTAAGGCACTTCTAATTCCCAGCCTACATCACTTTGCATTTTATCTGGTGGGGTGTGTACCAACAAATGCATTTTGTTGGCAAACACACACATGCCCGCATGCGCATACACACGCACGCACACACACACGGACACACGCATGGATGCACGCACATACACACAAAAACACACACACATACAGTGGTTTGCAAAAGTATTCACCCTCCTTGGCATTTTTTCTATTTTGTTGCCTTACAACCTGGAATTAAAATGGATTTTTGGGGGGTTTGTATCATTTGATTTACACAACATGCCTACCACTTTGAAGATGCAAAATATTTTTTATTGTGAAACAAACAAGAAATAAGACAAATACACAGAAAACATGAGCGTGCATAACTATTCACCCCTCCCCAAAGTCAATACTTTGTAGAGACACCTTTTGCAGCAATTACAGCTGCAAGTCTCTTGGGGTATAATAATATGCCATTTAGCAGACGCTTTTATCCAAAGCGACTTACAGTCATGTGTGCATACATTTTTACGTATGGGTGGTCCCAGGGATCAAACCCACTATCCTGGCGTTACAAGCGCCATGCTCTACCAATTTAGCTACAGAGGACCACATGTCTCTATAAACTTGGCACATCTAGCCACTGGGATTTTTGCCCATTCTTCAAGGCAAAACTGCTCCAGCTCCTTCAAGTTGGATTGGTTCCGCTGGTGTACAGCAATCTTTAAGTCATACCACAGATTCTCGATTGGATTGAGGTCTGGGCTTTGACTAGGCCATTCCAAGACATTTAAATGTTTCCCCTTAAACCACTTGAGTGTTGCTTTAGCAGTATGCTTAGGGTCATTGTCCTGCTGGAAGGTGAACCTCCGTCCCAGTCTCAAATCTCTGGAAGACTGAAACAGGTTTCCCTCAAGAATTTCCCTGTATTTAGCGCCATCCATCATTCTGACCAGTTTCCCAGTCCCTGTCGATGAAAAACATCCCCAAAGCATGATGCTGCCACCACCATGTTTCACTGTGGGGATGGTGTTCTCGGGGTGATGAGAGGTGTTGGGTTTGTGCCAGACATAGCGTTTTCCTTGATGGCCAAAAAGCTAAATTTTTGTCTCATCTGACCAGAGTACCTTCTTCCATATGCTTGTGGAGTCTCCCACATGCCTTTCGGCGAACACCAAACGTGTTTGCTTATTTTTTTCTTTAAGCAATGGCTTTTTTCTGGCCATTCATCCGTAAAGCCCAGCTCTGTGGAGTTTACGGCTTAAAGTGGTCCTATGGACAGATACTCCAATCTCTGCTGTGGAGCTTTGCAGCTCATTCAGGGTTATCTTTGATCTCTTTGTTGCCTCTCTGATTAATGCCCTCCTTGCCTGGTCTGTGAGTTTTGGTGGGCGGCCCTCTCTTGGCAGGTTTGTTGTGGTGCCATATTCTTTCCATGTTTTAATAATGGATTTAATGGTGCTCCATGGGATGTTCAAAGTTTCAGATATTTTTTTATAACCCAACCCTGATCTGTACTTCTCCACAACTTTGTCCCTGACCTGTGTGGAAAGCTCCTTGGTCTTCATGGTGCCGCTTGCTTGGTGGTGCCCCTTGCTTAGTGGTGTTGCAGACTCTGGGGCTTTTCAGAACAGGTGTATATATACTGAGATCATGTGACAGATCATGTGACACTTAGATTGCACACAAGTGGACTTTATTTAACTAATTATGTGACTTCTGAAGGTAATTGGTTGCACCAGATCTTATTTAGGGTCTTCATAGCAAAGGTCATGAATACATATGCATGTACCACTTTTCCGTTATTTATTTTTTATAATAATTTGAAACAAGTTATTTTTTCATTTCACTTCAACAATTTGGACTATTTTGTGTATGTCCATCACATGAAATCCAAATAAAAATCAATTTAAATTACATGTTGTAATTTTAGGGATGAATACTTTTGCAAGGCACTGTACACACACAGCACATACGCCTCACCCTCTATCCCTCTCTCAGCCTGCAAGGTTTTGGTTCTCAACCATGCAAATGTAGTCCCTGCGTATGCAGTAACGTTTCATGTCAGAACCATTGATCCCACCATTGCATTATCTATCTGCATGCTCTACCTTGCCAAGGCCTGGAATGAAAAGGCTATTTTTGCTAGGTTCAGCAGTAAACTGTGTGTGCAGGATGAGAAATGGGCCACTGCAGGGGAGGTTCTAATGGACATGACATCCTGGTCAGCTTTTGAGTGTATTGCCACAGACTGTGAGAACAGCTTCCTGTGCCGCACCCTGTGACCAATTAAATGCCTCGCTGAATGTGGGAGGTATTGGGACTTTCTTGGCTTAATTTCAATCATTTATTTGTTTGCTTGTTGTCTTTTGCTGAAGATTTCAACGTGCTGCTTTGCATTCATGGCCTCAGGGAAAGTTAACCAACAGCTTTTAAGCACGTTCTTGCTTTAATTAGCTAATTAAAGGCTCCAGTGGAATTAAAATGGACTGCCACTATTCCCTTTGTATCACCTTCAAAGCTCAAAGCTGAGGTCAAAGCTAAAGCCTATAGGAGGGATAGTCCTTCAACTGTTCAACATCGCAAAATTGCAATCTCTATTTATATTATGAGAATATCAAGCTGGTCACGTTTAGGCTCAATGGCAGTAACAACACAGTTCTATCTCTGAGCATATGACCATAATTGGCCCTCACAAGACCAAGCTTTTAAAGGCTTAACTCAGCACTGAGCCTCTGAAACCATTTGAGTACATAACTAGCCTTGCAATACAGACAATAATGGGACAGTCATTTTCCTGAAAAGATACTAGATGGGCCACTTTGAAAGGGACTAAAGCTCCCTGTTGACATGAAGTCAATGAATTGAGAATGTGAAGTGAAGTGACAATTGGTCCCCCCTTGCAACACTAAAATACAATGGAAACAGTGAAGATCATTTTTCCATACAATCCAATGACCTCTATTGACATTTTTGTTGGAGATTGGGTCCCATGTAAAGAAGATGAAGGTGTAACATATGAATTTCAGTATGTTTGATAGAAATCCTTATTGTCAGTTATAGGCTATAGGCCTAGCAGTGCCATGTCATGTTAATCACATTTTCTCAGGGCTTTAGAAATACAGAAAAGTATATGTTGGGAAGTTATCAGTCAGGCCAGATAATGTTTACATTTTCAAATAATGAGTGTTAGGGTAGCCTACCAGTCGACAACTTAACTTTCCATGAAAGCAATATACAGTATCTCAGTTTGTGGGTTATGTGCAGCGGGCTACAGGTTGGTCAATTTCCTTGAATTTTCATTGTATACACTACCGTTCAAAGGTTTGGGGTCACTTAGACATTTCCTTGTTTTCCATGAAAACATACATGAAATGAGTTTGAATAGGAAATATAGCAAAATGAATAGGAAATGTAGTCATTGACAAGGTTAGAAATAATTATTTTTAATTGAAATAATAATTGTGTCCTTCAAACTATGCTTTCGTCAATCCTCCATTTGCAGCAATTACAGCCTTGCAGACCTTTGGCATTCTAGCTGTCAATTTGTTGAGGTAATCTGAAGAGATTTCACCCCATGCTTTATGAAGCACCTCCCACAAGTTGGATTGGCTTGATGGGCACTTCTTACGTACCATACGGTCAAGCTACTCCCACAACAGCTCAATAGGGTTGAGATCCGGTGACTGTGCAGGCCACTCCATTATAGACAGAATACCAGCTGACTGCTTCTTCCCTAAATAGTTATTGCATAGTTTGGAGCTGTGCTTTGGGTCATTGTCCTGTTGTAGGAGGAAATTGGCTCCAATCAAGCGCCGTCCACAGGGTATGGCATGGTGTTGCAGAATGGAGTGATAGCCTTCCTTCTTCAAGATCCCTTTTACCCTGTACAAATCTCCCACTTTACCACCACCAAAGCACCCCCAGACCATCACATTGCCTCCACCATGCTTGCCAGATGGCATCAAGCACTCCTCCAGCATCTTTTAATTTGGTCTGCGTCTCACAAATGTTCTTCTTTGTGATCCGAACACCTCAATCTTTGATTCGTCTGTCCATAACACTTTTTTTCCCAATCTTCCTCTGTCCAGTGTCTGTGTTATTTTGCCCATCTTAATCTTTTATTTTTATTGGCCAGTCTGAGATATGGCTTTTTCTTTGCAACTCTGCCTAGAAGGTCAGCATCCCGGAGTCTCCTCTTCACTGTTGACGTTGAGACTGGTGTTTTGCGGGTACTATTTAATTAAGCTTCCAGTTGGGGACCTGTGAGGCGTCTGTTTCTCAAACTAGGCACTCTAATGTATTTGTCCTCTTGTTCAGTTGTGCACCGGAGCCTCCCACTCCTCTTTCTATTCTGGTTAGAGACAGTTTGTGCTGTTCTGTGAAGGGAGTAGTACAAAGCATTGTACGAGATCTTCAGTTTCTTGGCAATTTCTCGCATGGAATAGCCTTCATTTCTCAGAACAAGAATAGAC